CACGCCCACGACCTCAGGAYCAGAGCCTGCCCAGGGAGGAACCGGGCATGTGGGTCCCCAGCCTGCCCCTGGGCCGACCTCACTCCTCTGGGCTTCCTGTCCTGGGGACAACACTTGGTGATAGTCAAGTGGTGTGTGTGTCCTGGGGGTGGGCAAGTCCCAGCAGAGACCACACCCACAGGAAGGCACAGGGCCTGCGGGTCACCTCAGCCCCTGGGCTGCCGTGGCTCCACCCATCGTCTGGAAGGCAGGAGTGGATCACCYCATCTCCAGTTGGAGAAACTGAGGCTGAAAACCTTGATGTCACTGCCCGAGTTGGGGCCCCCAGCTGGAGACGGGGTCGAGTCTGTCTGACTCCAACCCTCACSGTGGGGAACACAGGCTTGAGAGCCAGCTGGGGCTCAGACTCTGCCACCTATTGGCTGTGTGTCCTCTGGCAGGGTGCCCCACCTCTCTGTGCCTCATCTGGAAACTGGAACTCCTCAGGGTGACCTTGAACAGGACTGTGGTGAGGATCCAGTGTGTTATCACAGGAAGAGCTCAGAACAGCAGGCCGCACCGACAGCACCAGAAGAGCCTGCCCTTCCCTCCTAAAGGAGGCAGGCCGCCAGCCCTGCAGGCCTGCCCAGCCAGCCATGCTGTCCCTTTTCCTGGAACCCGTGGGGAGCGGCTCCCTTGCACCTTCTCCAGAAGACGAGGTGGCCGCCTGAGCGAGCTGGGTGCAGCTGGCGGCCGCGGCCTCCCTGGCATGCGCTGGGGGGCTATTTTTACTGTGTTCTGCTGACTCTGACGCTGTCTGTGCTGAGGCAAGGGCAGCCCCGCTAGAGGGAGTCTGGGCCCCTCCATTTTGAAGGTGCCGCGGTGGGGGTGGGGAGGGGCCCTGCTAGCAGGCAGCCCAGCCTCCAGCTCTGTCCCCACTGAGAAATGAGGCCTTGGCTTTGCCCCCCAAAATGCGGCCCTGGGAGGTGGGGCCCACCCTTGCTTGACTTCCTGCCAGGCGGGCAGGGGTCTCCCAGGGAGGTGGGGGGAGAGTTTGCCCTGCAGTGTCCCCAGCCTTCAAGAAGGGCCTATCAATCGGAGGCTGGGCTCTGGGAGGCCCAGTGGGCCTTGCTGTCTCTGCTCCATACATGCCTGACCCCTCCCCAGAGGAGACCTGGACGGACGGACGGACGGACAGGGCAGGGCCACACCCGTGAAATCTGGAGGACGCTGCCTCCCTGGACACCAGGCGGCTAGCTGGTCCAGGTGTGGCCCAGCCCGGCTGCAGCTCCCCTCCCCAGCYAGGTCATGGCACCCCCAGAGAAGGGCTGGCTCCCCCTGGGAATGAATGGCTGTAGTGATGGGTTCCAAAAACCACAGCCAAGCCACAAGGGCCAGTGGGAAGGGGACTCCATCCAGCTCCGMGTTCAGCCACATTAGGCAGACAACCGAGCCATTCATCCGTGGGCGGCCGGGAAGCTGCCGCRGGCCTGCCGGGTGCCTCCTATTTTTCAGCTGTTTGGCATCAGGTCGGGACCTGGGGTGCCGCCCCCTCCCAGAGTGCATCTCATAATCTCATATTTTCCTCCCCTACCAAGGTCCCCCTCACCAGGAAATGTCACTAGCCTACTTGGAGATGGCAACTCAGGGCAAAAAGAGCTTAGCCATCACTAGAATCTTGGGCTGCCTCTTCCCCAGGGTGGAGCTCCAAGCAATTAGGGTTTGGCCTGAGCATTTTAAGATAATTCGATGCAGGCACTCAGCTACTTATTGGGGGAGTGTGTGCCTTTGACAGGAAGCCCCACGGGCTGCAGGAGGCCGCCAGCTCCGGGGGCCTCTTCTCTGGGCTGCTTCCTGGTACTTGGCACCCAGGAGCCAGGCACCCTGGACCTCGCCCAGGCTGGTCTGGCCTGGCCTCCTGGTTTCAGTCTTCAGGGCCCTGGTGGCTGTCCTGCACAGAGGCYGGGCCAGTGGGAAGTCCAGAAGAGAGGGCCTTCCCCACCCTCAGGGGCTGGGTGCCTTCTCCACAGGTGGCTCCCGGATGGAAGCTTCTCTCTGGATCTCTTCCCCACTTTAGCAGGGGAAGGGGGGCGCTGGCAGATTGGGGGAGCGTCCCTCCCTCTGCACCCTGCCTATGATTGGCCCATAATTACAGGTTTATTGCCTGCGCAGCTATTGTGTAATGACATGTTTGCAAATTAATTTTTATGGCTCCTGCCATTAACATATACAGTAGAGGAAGGTTTGGTATTAATTACTACTGTTGTTCGTGTAATCCCGGAGAATTAAAAACCAATAAAAGAATGACAACAGAAACTGATAGTTTAGGGTCTTTTAAAAATAGTTTATTCCCCCCCCCCAGTAGTATAGAGATTTCCCAAGCTGGTAAGGGTGAGGTGTGGGGGCGGCCACCCGGCCGTCTGCTGCCGTCCTGGAACCCCCCACTCCCAGAGGGGCGCAGATTGTGCAGCACGCGGGTGATAAGTGGGTGATAAACCGGTGGGAGCCCGAAGAGGGCCGGGAGGGGCGGGAACGGCTCTGGGCCCAGGCCTCGTTCGGGCTGGCGGGTGCCCCCCTCGCAAGGTCGCGGCGAGGGCCACGGGAGGCGCGGGGAGCGCGCCGCCCGCAGCCCCGGAAACAAAGGGCCGCTGCCGCCGAGGGCCTGGCGCGACCTCTGGGGTCAGCGCGGGGCGGAGCGGCTAGATGCCGGCGGCGGCGCGGGCGGCCAGTTTCCTCCGGGTCCGCAGCCTGGCGCCCTCCCTGGGCCGCGAGCACGGCCGCCCGCGGAGGGGGCGCCAGGCGGGGCGCAGCGGGGGCCAGTACTGCTCGCACCCCCGGCGGCCCGGCCCTGGGGGAAGGCACCGCCTGCCTGCGCGCAGCGCCCCAGCAGTTGGCGGCGCGGGGAGGAGCGCCACCCGCCCCGCGCTTGGAGCGCTCCGCCCAGCCCATCTAAGATTTTCCTAGCGGGGGGGGGGGGGGGGTTGGTGAGTGGCACCGAGGGCTCAGAAGGCACCCCGGGTCCTCCCATCTCCTCCAATTTGCCCTCCAGAGCTTTCCTCTGGGGTATCGTATTCCTGGAGTTCAGCTGTCATCTGAAGCCACCGCGTTTATCAGGGACGGGGGGCTGCCGCTGGGGACCCCTGATTTACCCAGGGGTTGGAGAGCGTTGGCAGGAACCCAAGCCTAGCGTGACCGTGGTGTCTGGCTAYGCGTACCTGCGGGCTCAAGCCTGTTCCTCAAACTATGATTGTATCTGGGGTCAAAAGGTGACCTCATAGTGTCACCAAGGCGTGATTCCGGCTGGTTGTGCCACCGAGGGGCCCTTCAGGAGGTAAAAGGGCTTGAAAATAAATTGTCACATCTGAGAGGCAGCTTTGCAGTGTGCGTTTGGAGGAAGGAGGGGCGTGGGTAAATGGATCCTGTCTCTTTAAAATCGCTGGGCTGGACAATGAGCGCACAGGATGTGGTTTGGCGGCAGGGTTTTTTCCCCTTCGATTTGGGGAATTATCACATGGGGCCTTCTTGAGCTGGTGTGAAAGAGAGGCGGCGTGGGGAGGAGAGATACAGGCTGCACACTCACACACACGCTCTGTGCAGTTGATCGTTTTCTTAAACCAAATTAGCCGGGGCTCTCGTTACTATGGTGCAGCCGGGGCTTGCAGAATCCCGGTAATAGCATTTATTAGGTCTATTTGCCTGGAAGCATGCCTTCCCGGATCTGATAATGCACCAGTGCAGCGAGAGTGTGGGAGATGGTATCAAGCATTTGATTACACTTGCAACAGGGATTTTTGTTGGGGTGGGGGGCGGTGAAAGGAGGGAAACCAACTGCCCGCCCTGGGAGCTCACCAGGGCAGCCGCGAGTGCGTTTCCGCAGCTCGCCGTGGGCTTCACAAAAGGCTGCCCGCAGCCCCCGGGGCGCATGGGGATCCTCCTCCGGGTGCGGGCGGAGGGTGAACTCCCGGCTCCCGCAGCTGTCAGACGTGGGTGGGGAGGGCGGGCGGGCGGGCAGCCAGAGCGCAGAGTTGGGCAGCCGGAGGGGGGGGACCAGCGGCGCCCGCAGCCGCCCACTGTTTGCAAGCGGCCCCGCTTTGGGGCAGAGGGGAGCACCCTGCCGCCGGCGCAGCACGCCCCGGGCTCTCGGTGCCCCGATCCTGTCCGCATGGACCTGCGGCCCGGCTTCTTGGCCGCGCGGAGGGGAGATCGCAAGTGAAACTATTATTATCGCCCTGCGAAGCATGGAGCTCCTGGAAGATGCCGCGTAGAGACGGAAGGAGCCGCCGCCGCCGCCGCCTGCAGCCGCCCGCCGCTGCGCCCCTACCCTCTCGCTTTCATTAGGGGAGACAAATCTGCTGTCAGGCAGCCAGCTTTCCAATTTACCGATAATGATTCTTGCATGAAAATTGATCGAGGGGCTCTCCACCGCCGTGCGCTCTCGCCTCCCCGCTCTCCTCCTGCCCGGGCTCGAGCCCCCGCGAGTTCTTTCTCCTCCTTCCCCACCCCCTCCGTCTGAGTCAGTGGTGGGACGCCGGGCCAGGAGATAACCCAAGGGGGGTGGCGGCGCTGGCGAGGGGGAGGGGAGAGGCCCTCGGCCTGCCTCCCCTGCCCGAGACTTGTTTGCCATCGCTGCCTCTTTTATTTACGAGGCGAAATCGCCCCTTCGGTACTTCTTGGCTGTTTGGGTATTAATTTTCTCCTCTCCCCTCTCCCGCGCGCCCCCTCCTCCTCTCCCCCACCCCCCTCCTCACCCAGTAGCTAAGGGGAAACGAAAACAAAGCCGATTTCTCCTTGGCAACAAGAGATACCCCCTCCCGCCGCCCCCTTCCTTTTCCCTTCTGGTTCTGAACGAGAAACCCTGTTGGAAACAGGTCTCTTGACCCTCGCCCTTGACATTCAAATGGCTGAATGGAGGAGAGATTGCTACTCGCACGTCTTGGGGGCTGCTTTTTTTTTTCTCCCTTCCCTCTCTCCTCTTTTTCTTTCAAATGAGTAATCCCTGAAGATCTTAACCCCCCAATTTCATCACCCTCACCTCCCCCCTTTATTTTTCTCTCGCTCCTCTTTGCTCTCCCTCCCGCTCCCCTCCACCAGCTCCCCTCCTTTTTTATTTGCATCTCAAGTCCAAAAGGCAGAAAATACACACGCGGCGAAGACACCGGGCAGCCGTGGAGGCTCGGCCCGTCCTGGGTCGTCAATTACCTCATTGTGGATCTGCCAGGGCCAAGGTGGCCGAAACTGCCCGGGGCTGGCCSGAGAGAGCGCCTTTTGATCATCTTAGGGGGGGGCTGATTTTTTTTTTTTCCAGCCGCTCTCGGGATCGCTTTTCTTGCCTTTATTTTATTGTTTTGGACATTTTTGAGCGCCGTGGCGTGGACGGTGCTTTTTGTTTCATTGCTGGGTTTTAATATTTTTTCATTTCCTTCTTCGTCCCTCTCTGGCCACTATGGAATTCTAATCTGAATCATGTTTGGATTGAAGCCGCCTCTRTATTACTTACCAGGTAAGCGAGCTGTGCGCCTCCCCGTGCCCTCCCTCGCCGCCCGGGCCGGGGTCGGGGCTGCGGGTGGGCGCGCGCGGCCAGGTGCGCGGGGTGCGCGGGGCGCGCGGGAGCCCGGCCGGCCCGCCGCCCGCCGGTGCGCGTCTCGCTCTTTTGTCTGCCCGGAGCCGGCGGCGCGGCGCGGGGGCCGGGCTCTGCGCCTCCCGGGGCGAGTCGGGCGCCGGGTGTGAAGTTACTTTCCCGCGGGCCGCGGCGGCCGGGTGGCGCCCCGGGTCCCGGGCTCCCTCTCCTCCCTGCCGCGGCCCGGCGCGCCCCCGCGACGCCCGGCCGCCCTCGCCCCCTCCTGCCGGGATTCCCTGGAAGGTTTTGTTCTTCCGAGGCCGGAGGAGGGGGCSGGAGCTCGGGAGGGCACCGCTTCCTGTTTCCTCCACCTTCCTGCGCTGACAGCAGCCRCCCTGTAACTTTCTGTTTCGGGCCAGTCGCGCTTTCAGCCCGGAGGGGAGGCGAGGGGGCGGCCGCGGCAGGTCTGGGGAGCCCCTCCTGAGTTTGCCTTGTTTGGACCTGAAGAATACTTGCGTGTGGTTCARGGGCGCGAGCCAAGGGCCCCTGGGTGGGAGGAGGGAGCCGAACCCTGCCCCGTCCTCCCCTCCAGTGCCCCTGGGCCCCTGGGGTCGGGAGTGATCCCCGGCGCCCCAGGTGGGGCCACGTGACCGTAGGTCGTGAAGGCTGTGCGTGTGGCCGCTTGTTCTAGGAATGAGCTGTTTTTATTTTCCTCCCTTCCTTTGAGCTTTGTCGCACAGTTCTGTGTAGTTGGGGTGCCCATGGGGTGCSGAGGGAGGAGAGGAAGTTCCTGGCCTTTCTCGTTCTGCAGGGTGGCTGCCCTGCAGGTTTATTTCTGAATTGTTTTGCTGGGGAAATGCCCACGTGGCAGGGGGTTGGGTTTTGTGTCTTTCCCTTGTATTAGAGGCTCCTGTCACTTTTGCCAGGCTCACCCCAGCCCCCTGCAAGGAGGTGGGAGGGCAGGAAGGGCCTGGGCAGCACCCAGCTCCTGTGGAGCCAGCCCTGACCGCCCTGATCCAGGGAAAACGTGTGATCACCGAGTTAGCAGCAGGGTGAAGGGTCATGGGGGATCCCAGCCACAGAAAATAGCCGAGGAGGAAGGGCTGCAGGCCCTCTGCGCTGCTCTTCCTGGGTCTGTGGCTGCTGGAGTTCACAGCCCTTGCCAGGGACCCTCCAGGTCTGTGTCTCCTGCCCGAGTCTGCACCATTTTCATAGGGTTTCTCAGGGTCTCCATTTCATTCTTTTCCCCCTCCACAGCCTGAAATGCAAATCGGCAACCTCAGATGTGGCTTTTCCCCCTCTCTCCACACTTCCCTTCACAGCTCCAGCCAAAATTAGAACGGGAATCCCCAACTTCCTAAAGGGCTGTGTTCTGCACAAGGACCGAGCCCTCTGGAACCTGAGACGCCACCCCCCACAGCATCTGTGTGGCGGGTGAGAGCTGAGGGCCRGGTGGTGGGCTTCACCCTGGGCCCAGGATGCAGCAGTATGCCCCTGCTGTGCCTGCCTGTACCTTGGCCTCCCTGGGTGTGACCAGGGACAGCAGGGAGAGCCCTTGGCTGTTTATCTCCAGCGTGGAGACCTCAGGGCAGCCTTGTGGCAGGGATGAGTCTCCGAGGTACAGGGCGCTTGGAGGCGCAGGTGTTTGTAATCTACACCCACTTCACCTGCCACAGCGGCTGCAGGCGCATACATATGCATCAGGTGACCGATTTTCTGTTTACACTGGGAGCTTCGGAAAGAAGGGGGATTCAGACTAGAGGTTCAAAGCAACCAAGGAAAAACCAGCCCTGGCTGGGATGCAGCCACAGTGGCCAGGCTGCAGGGCAAAGCCCCCACCCCACCCAGCCCGAGCCCTGGGGGGGGGGGCATGGCACCAGCCTGTGGGTGAAGGTCCCCTCACTGAGGTTAGTGGTTTTGAGTGGCCCTGCCTGGGTGACAGCCCATGGTGTCAGCGTCCTATTCAGGGTGGGGGTTTAAGTGGGAAGGAATGTAGGGTTACAGTCACATCCTGGAGTGTGTGTGGGGGGGCAAAAGCAGTGGCTTCGTCCCTTGCGCTGCGCTGGTGTTGGGGACCCTCCTGTCGGACCCACTCCCTCCTGGGCAGGGTCTGGCATCTGCCCATTTCACAGATGAGCAGTGTGAGGCCCAGAGGGTTCAGCAGTTGTCCTGCTGGGCAGGGACCTGCTGTGCTGGGTGGGGAAGCGGGGTCTGGGTGTGGTGGGCAGCCTGTGGCCTGAGGTGGGGGGCAGAGCCCCCTCCAGAGCAGGATCCCAGCTGCTCTGGAGCCTCTGGGCCCCGAGTTCTGTCCCTGAAGCCAAATCCCACTGAGGCATTTGTAGCCACCAGAGGCCAGAACCTGCCCCTGCAGCCGTCCCCCGGACAGCCACTTGGCATCAAGCGAGAACATGAGTCCAGGTGGCCTGGAGTCCAGCTCTGCCCTTCATGCTGCTGCCAGGGCAGGTGACACACTCTCCTTAAAGACTTGGCTTTCCCATTGGTAAAACGGGACCCGCGAGTGGGTCTCCTCGGGTTGGTGTTGATGGGTGCTGTCCCTGCCAGGGGTAAATAAAGTTTTATTGGCACCCAGCCACGCCCACTCCTCTCTGTCCATTCTCCGCAGCTTCCACACTATGGTGGCAAAGCAGAGTGGCTGCAGCGGAGACCTAAGATGGCCAGGCCTAAAGGGCAGCTCGTCCTTCGCAGGAAGGTTGGCCCGCCTTGTGGACAAGGGAAAGGGACTGGGTCCCCCAGGCACTGGGTCGGGGCCTGGGACAAAGTGATTGCAGAGAGTCCCGAGCTCCTTGGTGACGGAGTCCTGGACTGGGCCTCCCCCGCTCCCGTGTGTCTTGCCTCTTGTGCTCCTTGCTGGCCAGGGGGTGGCCGGGTCAGGAGTGCCAGGCACAGAGGCCTGCCCTAGGGGGTGAGCAGGCAGGCCCTTCCCAGGCTTCCTTCTGGAGGCACGTGCACCCCCGGCTCCCCTTCCCGAGCCCCCCAGACTGTGGGCTCCACACGGTGGGGTCTGTGTGTCTCCCTCGTTCTGGGCTTTGTGCCAGGCCGATGATCACAGTCATAAAAACTAAATAATAGTACAGAGAAGGAAGAGGTCCTGCACTCCTCACACCCTGCTGTCCTTCAGAGCACCTCAGGGTGGTCAGGCCGCTCTCGTCCTCCCTGACCGCCGGGAAACTGAGGTCCAAGAGGTCCAGGCCACACCAGCAGTCAATGGCGCAGCGGGGCGCTGACCCCAGGCCGGCAGGCTCCAGAGTCCTTGCTTAATAAATATTTGTTGAAGTGTGAGGGAGGAGACGGCCACTGGTGTTGGCCGAGGTGCCCTCCTGGCCCCTTATCTGGTTCCTGAAGGGAGAGACGGCTCCGCTGTCCCACCCACGGTGAACCCTGGGTGACCCCAGCCTCCCTTAGGGTCCCTGTCCACTTCCAGGAAGGACACTCCAGGCCTGGTGAGGAAACTGAGGCCCAGAGAAGGCTGGCGAGCTCTCCTCTGCAGCTGCCCTCAGTCCCCGCCTCCCTTGGAGCCTCTGCCTGCCCCTGGAGGCCACCCAGGCCACACTGAGTCCTCAGGAGCTGGCTGGGCCTGGCCTGGTCCCATCTAAGAACAGCCTTGGGTGGACATGTCAGAAAGGGGCCTTCCCTGCCAAGGGCTKCGGCACTTGGAGAAGTGAGGCGGTGGCCCTTAGGGAGCCACCAGCTGTGTCTACCCGCCCTCTGGATTTCAGAAAGTCCCAGTGCGGGGCTGGGTGTGGGCTCTGCCAGGCCCACCTGGGCTGGGGGAAGGGTCTGGGGCGGGGTGAGGCCAGCAGCTCAGGAAGCAGGGTGGTTCCCTGGGTCACCAGCTTATGCCCTGCTCCTGGTTGGTGGCGGGGACCTGGCTGGTCATGAGCAAGCCCGGGGCCGGGGCGTGGGGGGCTGCATGATCCGGAAGGCACTTATTTACCGCTCAGGGAGGGGGCTGCTGACTCCCACTAGCACTTCCCAGGCAGCCGCCAATTAATCTTGATAACCCTGAGAAATGGGAGGGCTGGGGGCCCTTTTGTCCCAGCTGCAACCTGGCCCTTCTCAGAGGGGCCTGGGGGGTCCCCTGCTCAATTTGGTTCTCATTAAGCTCTCGCTCTGCCTCCCTGGGCCCGCCCCCAGGGGATCTGATGGCCCCACAGGAAGCAACTCCTGCTTCTTATCTGACTCCAGCTTCTCTGTGCCCTTGGAGCAAACGGTCCTCTGATCCTGGCTCCGGCCCTGCAGGTGGGGCAGGGACACAGTCCTTCCTGCAGGAGAAGTGGCGGTTGGGCGGCAGCTGGCCAGACCACCTGGCTCCCAGATACAGCTGGCCAGGGGACAAGGTGTCTGGAGGTGGTTTCTCCTCCACACCCAGTGCTCCGCGTCACCTGTCTGTCCCCCCAGATGTGACAGTGGAGCAGCCCTGCTGGTGTCAGGTTCCGTTGAGTCATCTGGTCCACCCTGGCAGTGCAGCAAGGGAAACAGGTTGGAGACACTGCCCTGAGGTCCTCCCTGGGTGGCCGTGAGATGGGGTTGGTGGACCTGGCCTGTTCCCCGGCTCGGGCACATCCTCCTGCTCCACAGAAAAGGACTTGAGGCTTCATAAGCCCCTTGGAGGCCTTTTGAAGAGGGTCAGTGGGACTGCTGGTAGGGGGTCCTCAGCAGAGCGGTCCTGGTCCTTACTTGGGGCTCTGTGTCCGTGGTGGCCTGGCCAGGGATCAGCGGAGCTGGGGAGGCACAGGGGCGTGTGTTAGGAGGGAACTGGGGGGTGGGGAGTGAAAATAGAACATGGTGTTCTCCTTTTTTTTTTTAAGAGCTCCATATAGATTTAAAGTCCTTTTGTTAATTTAGGAACATAAAACTGTGTGATGTATAGCTGGGTTTGCTCGTAAAATCACTAAGTGTGGCATGTTTAGAGCCGTGGAGGC